AAACCCTATCTCGAAAAACCAAAAAAAAAAAAAAAAAAAAAAAATGATAAGGTCTCATGTAGCTCAGGCTGGCTCAAACCCACCGGCTTTGACCTGGTGATAAGACTGCCTCCTTCTCCCAAGCACTAGGACTTTAGCATGTGCTGCTATGCTTGGTTTTGTTTTGGTTTTTTGTGTTTTGTTTTGTTTTGTTTTGTTTTGTTTTTGAGGGGAAGGATTTTTAAATTCATTATCGTCTACAAATCACATAACTGCTTTCAAACAGTGTTGACAGTGCTAGCATATGCTTCTATGTAGAGCTCACATTTGTTTAGTTTTGTCTCTATTTCCCCTAATAGAGTGCAACTCCAGTACAGACTTGGTGCATCCTGACAGCCATGTATACCTACATACATGATCCAAACTGCCAACAGTATGAGGCATACCCATCACCCTGAAAACCTGTATTCCTCTTCAATGAGAATATTGAGGGTGAACATACTATTGAGACTGTGCTTTTGATTACTGTAAAATGAAATTTCAATATTTGTCTAACAAGCATGGAAAAGGTGAAGATAGTCTGTTAGGGCCAGAAGGTCTCTTAAGAAAACAACTAATCTGATTTTATAATTTCATAACATCTAAGTCAGCTTTCTATAGAATGCTCATGTAAAAGAAGTAGTCATGGATAAGAGGAATCTGTGATGTCCTTTGAGAAGCATGATGGTATGACTCCATGGAGGGGGTAGAGAAAATCTGACAGAGATGGTTCTAGTTCTCGCCATTGCTTCTTGCAATTCCACCATGGTAAAAGCAAAGAGATTCTTTATAAACATGACATCAAGAAAAAAAAAAAAAACAGAGGAGGGAAGAGCAAAGAGAAAATCACAGTACAATTGTAGAAGCTAGACAGAAGGTGAATGGTGGAAGTTAGCAGCCCATGGAAGCCTGAGCGTCTCAGCCTGGAGTGGGTCTGGCTGCACTGAAGGGCAGCAGCAGAACATAGAAGGCCTAACTAAAGAATTCAGACTCCCCACAGGGATATCTTGAGGACCAGCATCAAGCCACACAGGCAGGTAAGTCCTTCTGCCAGCAATTGCAAAATCTGGACAACTGGAAAGAATATGGGTCAAGGAATGGTAGGTATGGCTGAAGGCAGGGTGAGAAGTGCCAAACAAAAACAAGAGGATGTAGTCAAAGGGGAGTCTATTAACCAGCATGATCCTTAGGGCCCCTAGGCCCAATGATCCAACTCCAATAACCTCTCAGCACCAACCAGGGAAAGGAAGGGCATTCCCTCTGGGAAAGTGATCTGGTTCAAGTTTAAAGGCATCTGACTTTTCACTGAAGAAACTGAGAGTCCTACATATAAAAGGCCCTCAATTTGCTCTAACCTTCCAATCAGCTCCCTTGCATACAAATGGCAGCCAAGAATCATCAGACAACCAAGGAAAATCCATAGGAAGGACTGACAAGTCAAGTCTTTTGAGCATAAACATAAAGCATGAACTGAACAGTAGTTTTAAAAAAGAAAAGGATTGACAAGCATCAAAATGAAAAGAAGGGACTAGTAAAAGAGAAAGTACACAGAAAACGGTTTTTTAACCATAGTTAACATACTTATTGAAAAATAAGAAAAGCTACTACATCCAAGAAGCAAAACAGCACATGACAATTTTGGAAAACGAAAAATTCTTAGAAATTTAAAAAATGATGTAAAATTGATAATGAATAAAAAAGTTAAGATGTTCCTTCCAAGTGTGTGGGTGCATGTGGATGCACAAGATTTTTAAAAATTAGAAGATTGGTCTGGAATTCAATAGTTACTAAAGAAGAATCCTGAAGGAAAGGAAAATTATTTTCATAATATATCAGAGAAAAATATTAATGAAATTTTAACAAATAAAAATTCCTATTTCTCAAACTGAAAAAGCAAACGAAGTAGTGAAGACAACAGAATGGGAAGAGGCGGTGTCAAGAGGACCAAGAACTTGATGGCAGTCTGGCCTTCTTTGAGACCCTTCTTAGAGGGAGAGGGAGAAGGGAGTGACACAGGAAAGGGAAGGGGACAGGAGGAAAGAGCTAGAAAATGAGAGGGAAGGAGCGATAGACAGACAGCCGAGAAAGTGAGAGCAAGAAGTGGTGGGTACAAAATGAAGATCTAAAAGCTTTTGAAGGAATACATCAGGGTCTATACAAAAGTTGGTGAAGTAGACAAAAGGACACTCTCTCTTCAGAATCTGAGAGAGAATTACTTCCCAGAAAAGCTATCAATTGAACATGAAGAAAGAATGGTGACATTTTCAGACATGCAAACGCTCACAAAATAAACACTGCATGGACAGAATCAGCAAACTTCTGAGAAATGTTGCTCCATCTATACAAGAGCACAGAGGAAATAGGCAAAGGGGGATTTCCTACACAGAAGAAGGCTACAGGGCCATCTTCATCACCCCAGGGAGAACAATGGTGGCAACAAACTGCACATGGAAACACAGCCATGCAATGGCTCAGGTGTGACTATTTGCATGATTACAATAAAGAGGCACAGAGAGCTTAACCAAAAAAAGGAATATCTATTGTTTTTAGAGAAGAGGAAGGAGGAAGGTGTGATGGTCAGAAGAGGGAAGGACTAAATTGAGCTCCCTATGTGGCAAGAAGTCAATCTACAGCTTCTGAAACAGAAAACTCAAGAACAGTATGAGCACACTACCAGATACGCAAATGTTCGAGAAGGGAGAACTCCAGCAGTACAAGTTCCAGCTTTTACATGGACGTGGGACCTGGCAAGAATGAGGTCAGGGAAGACAATTTTTATCGTTATTTCTGGTTTAGACTTAAATATCTCTCAAGGTCATTCATAAATTCCCTTGTATTCTTGATCTAAGTAGTTGTTATTTTTTTTTTTTTTTTTTTTTTGGTTTTTCGAGACAGGGTTTCTCTGTGTAGCTTTGCCCCTTTCCTGGGACTCACTTGGTAGCCCAGGCTGGCCTCGAACTCACAGAGATCCGCCTGCCTCTGCCTCCCGAGTGCTGGGATTAAAGGCGTGCGCCACCACCGCCCGGCCTAAGTAGTTGTTATTAATCTCATTACATTTTACAAATCTGTTAGAATTTGATTTCTGATATTCTCCTATGACTTTAATTCTACAATTTTAGTCTTTCCCATAAAAGTAGGTAAAAATAAATTTTATCAGAACACTCAACTAGGCTCTTGACCAAGGGTGAGGGGGCAAATTTACAAAGTGTCAGTCAAGCGTAGCAAATTCCTGCATGGTGAGAAAAAAACATTATGGAATTTCATGGTAGCATATACACATACAATCAGAGCGCTTCCCACTTTTGCTCACTACATAGAAACTAAAGTAAAAATAAGGTAGAATAGTAGCAAACACACTGGCATTGGGTCGTACATAAAGTGAACATTACTAAGATTATTCACTAAACTGGACTAACAAGGTAGAGGACACAGGAAAGTACTTTTTCTTACTACCTGGCTTAGTTTAGGGTTTCTATTGCTGTGAAGAGACACCATGACCACGGCACCTCTTGTAAAAGGAAACATTTAATTGGGTGGCTTACAGTTTCAGAGCTTTAGTCCATTAACATCATAGTGTAACGTGGCGGCATGCAGGCAGACATGGTGCTGGAGAAGGAGCTGAGAATGGAGAAGGAGCTACATCTTTTAAGCAACAGAACAGAACAGTCTCACTAAGAGAAGCTTGAGCAAAGGAGACTTCAAAGCCCACCTCCACGGTGACATACTTCCTTCAACAAGGTCAAATCTCCTAATAGTGCCACTCCCTATGGGGGTCATCTTCTTTCAGCACACCACATTACCAAGCTGTCCTGAGTCTTTTATTTTTTGATTAGAAAAATCATAAAAAATGGGAAAGGGAGTCAATCAGCAACAAAAAAGAAAAACATGAAGAATATCAAAATTGTGTGCTGAGAAAAGAAGCCACTTGTAATAAGGACATGTGTATGAGTTCCCCAGCAGGCAAATCTAATCCAGTGACAGATTTTCTATCAGTAGTGGTGCACAGCAGGATGTGGATGAGAACTGACTATAAGAAGCAGAAGACCACACATGACAGTGCACGTTGTATAATGTAAGTATTAGGAAAGCTGAGGCAGGAGGTGCCTAAGTTTGAAACCAGCCTGGACTACAACAGCCAAGCTTGAAGTTAGCCTAGGCTACATAGCAGGAATGAATTCTCTGACACAATAGTAACAAATTGAAATATATAAACACCAAATGTACTGACATGTAATATCAAAATACATGCATATTACTGCGTGATAATTAAATATCAATAAAGATGGGGAATAAACCATTGAAGGAAATAATATAAAGCCAAGGTAGGGACATACCTGTAATCCCAGCATTCAGGAGGCAGAAGCAGGCAGATCTCTATGAGGTCAAGGCCAGTCTGATCTACATAATGAGTTCTAGGACAGACAGGGCTGTCTCAAAAAATAAAGAAAGAAATAATAAAAGACAAAAAGAGAGGGAGGGAGGGAGGGAGGGAGGGGGAAGGAGAAAGGGAGAGAAGAAAAGAGAGAAAAAGAAAAGAATATGGAGGTTCCTGATAAAAATAAATAAATAAAACAACAGTACAATGTGAACTAAGACTCCCACTACTGGGCATTTAGATAGCTTCCAACTCATGATGTCAACTTCATAATGACATAAAAGTGAAACACATTCAATAGGAGCATTCCCACAAATTGTGATCATTTTTCAGGTTAGTATTATGTTGTATGATGCTCTATAAGAATGCTGGGTAGCAGCAGCAAGCTACAGCTCCCAGAAAGCCACACAATCAGGAGAGTAAACAAAGAACCCTCCACAATGCACTATAGGCAAGTTGAGAGTTCGATGGACAAGATATGTTAAATGTACTTGTATTTGTGGCATTTTCAATTATGATAGGAGTACTTAGATATAATCCAACCATAAATCAAGGAACATCTGTATATCTAAAGGAAACGAAATCAGTATGTCAAGGAGACATCTACACTGCCATGTTCATACAGTGTTACTCACAAAAACTTAGGCACAGCATCAATGTACGTGTCCAACAGACAAATGGATAAAGATAATAATGCACATATACACAGCATTTATCCTTTAAAAAAAAATACATGACACATCTTCTAAAAGGAAGGAAATCCTGACATTTGCAACAACATGGATAAAACTGGAAGACATCATGCTGAGAGAAAGAAGCAAAGCATACAAAGACAATACCACACAAACTCACTTATATGTGACAATTTTTAAAAGTCAAACTCAGAAGAGAAGAAAATGATGGTTATCAGAGTATGAGACTGAAGAGATGTTAGCCACAGGATACAAATCCTTAATTAGATAAGAAGAGCAAATTCAAGAGATCTGTTGTACAACATGCTGACTGAAGTTAATAGCAATGTGTTTTATACTTGAAAATTGCTAGAGATACTGTAAGTGGTTTTACTACAGAGAAATGTTATCTATGTAAGTTGATGTACATATTAACTTGATGTCACCATTCCACAATGTGTTCATATTCCAAAATACCATGGTACATCCATAAATGTGCATACTTTTATTTGTCGATTAATCAATTTAAACAAGGCCTTTTTAATTAAGGATGTGAAACAGAGACTCTGTAAAGAAAGTACCAAACTCACATAAACATTTATTTCTCAAATCCATGTTCTACTTTTATAAATATGATGACAGTATTCTCATTCTGTTATGTTTAATTATAGGGATAATTAATATTGAAAAATTATATTATACTGTTTCATTCATAAACAAATCCATGGAAAGTCAAGTTGTTAAAATCATGTCATCATGCTTTGCCTCCTTGAGATTACAGTAACTTGACATTTGCTTCAA